GTGCCCAACGTGGGGCTCGAACCCACGACCCTGAGATTAAGAGTCTCATGATCTACCGACTAAGCTTCCTGACTCAGCTTTAGCTGCAAAACCCTGCAGCTCATCAAGAGGTCCTGCCACGAAACACTTAAATGGTGTTGACGAAAAGCTGAATGCACGCTTTTCGTTTGCAGCCATAGCAGGAAAAAAGCTGTGCTGTTTAAAAATGCTGGCTTTCTGGGCCGTCCTGCCAGGGCAAATTCTGACTGTTTGAGGCAGGAGGGCCGGCTACAGAGAGAGGACTTGAGTGTTGTCTGTTGTAGCTTGCTGGCTGGCAGGGACCTTGAAACGCCATAGAGTTGTGGCAGTAAACATGGCCATAGCCAGTACCTCAGCCATGAGGCTGGAAAGCTAAGGAATGGGCTGGATCCAGCCGTCAAAGCCACGGCTTTAGTCCTACTGAGATTGCTTGGTAAATTAAAGACTCATGTGGTCAGAAAAACAGAGAGAGATACAGTAAAGAGAGCGTCAAAGACAAAGAAAATTTTTAAATTATTTACAGCGTGTTAAAAATATATGCAGACTAACAGTTAAAATTCTTAAAGCAAAAAACAAAAAAAAGGAAGAGAGTTGTTGTGTGTGGTAGTACACACCTTTAATCCCAACACTTGAAAGGCAGAGGGAGATTGACCTCTGTGACTTCAAGGTGTGGTAGCACATGCCTTTAATCCCAGTGCCTAGAAGGCAGAGACAAACAGTTCTCTGTGAGTTCAAGGTGTAGTAGTGTATACCTTTAATCCCAATGCCTGGGAGGCAGAGACAGGCAGATCTCTGAGAGTTCAAGGACAGCCTGGTCTACAGAGTTACTTCAGGTCAAAGATACAGAGAACCTGTCTCAAAAAGCAAAGAGTTAAAAGTAAAAATAAACAAAATAGAGGTTAAAATAAAGCGCACAAAGATGGAAAATACACAGAGAATTTTGATACTGTATGCTATTATGCTCTCTTTAAATTATTTAAATGCTGAGGAAGGAGCAACAGATGCTAAAAGATATTTATTTATAAATGCTGCTGAACTAGTCCAACATAGATATTTTGATGCCTTGACTTTGAAATTTGGATCTAAGGACATAATGCTTTGGAAAGGAGTTTCTTATTTTGTTTTCACAGAGGATGAGACCCTGTTCATTTCTTCTATTCCGATTTGGTATGATGGACCACACCTTCCTGAAGAGTTGGTGTGAACACCTTCAGAAAATTGCTTTGCTCAACTGCCAACTGAGATGAAACTAGCACACAGGTTATACCATGAAAGACCTAATTAACGACACCCCCATTCAGCAGGAAGCAGTTTGGAGAGAAATAACTGCACCCATATTCCCAAAAATGTTTATAAATGTTCTTTTACAATTAAAGGGGGATATGATATAGGTATGAATAATTTGCATTAGTATAGATTTTGCTTTATTTATAGAGATTTACGGTCAATTTTGTTATATGTATATGTATTTCTGATATTGATTAAGGTATTATGATTGTGTAGTTCATTATTAAAATGTAATGTATAATTAGGAAATATAGGTTGCTGATGGATAATCATAAATAATAGTCAAGTTTGTAGTCTTGTTAGTTAATATTTTCTAGATGTGCGTAGATATATTTTAGGTAGGCATTCTTCATAATTTTCAAAGATTATAGAATATGGCATTTTAAATGTTTTAATAACTTAGGACTTTTCATGACAATGAGACACTCTGCTCCTGGCAGCACCAATCTACTTCAAGAGGAAGATGGGCATTGAAGAGGCTCGTTATGGAGTTTGATAGCCATTTGGGCAAGAAACTGCTCTTGCCTGGACTATTGCATAAACTGGACACAGAGAACCCACAGAGAGAGGACTACTGTACTTGCCTAAGGTGAGATGATCTTTCGGGGTTCCTGATTCATGAAAGAGTCTGCAAGACATTCTGCAGGACACAACAGATAGTGACTGAACTGACTTTGAATTTTCCTGCTTTATGGAAATGTCTGCTGGATACCATGGGCCTGAAGGCTGAAGATGGATGCCCCAATGGTACAGAGGAACTTTGGGTGACTGTCCAGGCAGCAAGATGTCTCTGTCATTTCTAGAGTTTTAAAAGTTGCTTTTTTCTTGTTTGCTTAGGTAGTATTGTATCTTTCTGGAGTCTTTGATGGAGTTAAGAATAATTAGTTATAGTTATAGTTTTCCTTAGTTATGATAAAGATTATTGTAACTTTTACTTGATAACTGTTTCATTATATGTAATTTTGCTATGTTAAAGTTAAAGCCTTTTTTTTGCTGTTGTTTAAACCGAAAAAGGGGAAATGATGGAGGAAGGTCATTGGTTAAATAAAAAGAAACTGCTTGGCCCTCATTGGTTAGAAGATAGGTGGGAGGAGTAAACAGAACAGAACGCTGGGAGGAAGAGGAAGTGAGCTCAGACTCGACAGCTCTCCTCTCGAGAGCAGACACCTCAGAGAGACGCCATGCTCCCAGCTCCCAGGAAGACACACGCGATGAAGCTCTGACCCAGGATGGACATAGGCTAGAATCTTCCCAGTAAGCGCACCTAGGGGCGCTACACAGATGATTAGAAATGGGCTAAATTAATATGTGAGAATTAGCCTAGAAGAGGCTAGATAGAAATGGGCCAAGCAGTGATTAAATGAATACAGTTTGTGGTTGTTATTTCGGGCATAAGCTAGCCAGGCAGCCGGGGTGCTGGGGACGCAGCCCTGCTGCTCTTATCACTACAGGGAGGTGATGTGGGGCATTCCCCTCTGCATACCATTGGTTAATGAAGCTGCTTTGGGCCTATGGCAGTGCAGAATAGAGCCAGGCAGGAATTCCAAGCAGAGACGGAGGAGAAAAGAAGGCAGAGTCAGAGAGATGCCATGTAGCTGCTGAAGAGAAAGTCACTAGCCAGCAGCCAAAACCTCATGATGATTCACAGAATAATAGAAATGGGTTAATCTAAGATATAAGAGTCAGTTCATAAGAAGTCTAAGCTATTGGCCAAGCAATGTTGTAATTAATATAGTTTCTGTGTAATTATTTTGGGTCTGGGTGACTGGGAGCAAACAAGCCATCTCCTACTACATGGATCTCTACATCTGCTTCCATTTGTTTCTACATAAGTGTTCTAGCTTCTCTGTGGTTGTGGACTGTAGGCTGGTTATCCTTTGCTTTATGATTTATATCTACTTATGAGTGAGTACAGTCTTTCTGGGTCTGGGTTACCTCATGCAGGATGTTTTTTCTAGTTCTGTCCATTAGCCTGTAAATTTCAAGATGTCATTGTTTTTTACCGCTCCATTGTATAAATGTAGTACATTTCTTTATCCATTCTTTGGTTAAGAAGCATCCAGGTTGCTTCCAGGTTCTAGCTACTACAAATGATGCTGCTATGAACATAGTTAAATAAATGTCCTTGTGGTCTGAGTGTGCATCCTGTGGGTATATGCCCAAAAGTGCTATTACTGGGTTTTGAGGTAGATTGATTGCTAGTTTTCTGAGAAACACCATACTGACTTCCAAAGCAGCTGTACAAGTTTGCACTCCCACCAGCAATGGAGGAGTGTTCCTCTTACTCTATAACCTCTCCAAGATAAGCTGTCATTAATGTTAGCCATTCTGACAGGTGTAAAATTGTATCTCAGAGTTGTTTTGATTTGCATTTCCTGATGGCTAAGAACCTTGACTATTTCCTTAAGTGCCTTTCAGCCATTTGAGATTTCTCTGTTGAGAGTTCTCTGTTTAGATCTGCACCACATTTTTTAAATCGGATTATTTGGTATTTTGATGTCTAGTTTCTCGAGGTCTTTGTATATTTTGGAGATCAGTCCTCTGTCTGTTGATGGGTTGTGGGGTTGGTGAAGATCTTTTCTCATTTTGTAGGCTGCCATTTTGTCCTGTTATCTGTGTCCTTTGTCTTACAGAAGCTTCTCGGTTTCAGAAGGTCCCATTTATTAATTGTTTCCCTCAGTGTCTGTGCTATGTTCAGGAAGTGGTTTCCTGTGCCCATGTGTTCAAGGTTACTTTCCACTCTCTCTTCTGTGAGGTTCAGTGTGGCTGGATTTATGTTGAATTATTTGATCCATTTGGATTTGAGTTTTGTGCATGGAGATAGATTTGGATCTATTTACATTCTTCTTCTGCATGTTGATATCCAGTTATGCCAGCACCATTTGGTAAATATGTTTTCTTTTTTCCATTGTATAATTTTAACTTCTTTGTCAAAAATCAGGTGTTCATAGTGTGTGGATTAATATAAGGGTCTTCGATTTGATTCCATTGAACATCTCCATAACCACAGAAAGAAATCCAAGGACTAGGGATGTAGCTGGTGATGAAGCACCTGCCCATCTTTACAGGCCCAGGTTGATGCCAAACGCAAAGACACTCCACACTATCAGCAATCCCCAGTGAGCAATCACTGAACCACCCTAGCTTTACAGATCTGCCATGGCACGATGGATCACTGAGTCTGATGACCTGATTTTAGCCCTGGTACCACAGGGAGGACGGGGAGGACGACTCCTGACAGTTGTCCTCTGTTCTTGAAACAAACAAGAGTAGGTTTGCCATTTCTGCAGATTCTGCTCAGTAGCTAGGACAAACAAGACAATGTTGGTCCCCAGCATGGATCAAACAGAAAAGTCTTTAGTGTTTTGTCTGGATCTATGTATGTGTGCTGTGTGTGTACCTGGTGCCCTCAGAGATCAGAAGAGGGCATCAGAACCCCTGGAATTGGAGTTACAGATGGTTATGAACCACCATTTGGGTCCTGGGAATTGAACTTGGGTCCTCTGCAAGGGCAACAAGTGCTCTTAATCCCTGAGTCATCTTTCTAGTCCCTGATCTAGCAATTCTTACACCACACTTTAATTCTTGACACCTAGGATCCGAATTCACTAAAGACAATAACATTAATCACAATGAGCCAAATGAGACGCTTTCTCCAGGAAGTGTGCTCTATTCCTCAGCTGGAAACTTCTTACCTTATCTGGCGCATTCTTGCTTAGCATTAAAGGGAAGACCCGCTCATGCAGCCAGTGCTTCCGACTGTTGCTGTTACAGCCGTACAGGAAGATATTGTTCTTGCGACTGTGCCCATGGAAATCACAATACAAGAGAACCTCTCTTTCTTCCAGAAGTCTATTGAGAAACAGACATCCAAACTCAAGAGATTAAATCACTCTCTACCTGTGGTCCCAGAATCAGTCAATGGTAAACCAGTTCTCCCATATCTGTTCACACAGGTGTGATTAGAAACTGGCATTGGTATCTTAGCTGCTATGTGTTTGCCTATAGTGGAATGGAAGCTCTTTTAAGATGGGTGCTAGTATCCGATAGCTTCAAGCTGCTTCCACACAGGCTTGAAAAGTGCAAGCTAACTTACTACTTTATCTTCATTAGAAGCAAAATTTGGTGATATTAGGGGACTCAGATCCTGGAGTCAGAGATCCTATGTCCAAATAGTTATCCTGTTGCTTGTGAGCTCTGAGACCTTGTTTAAGTTATATCAAAGTTTTGGAACTCAATTTCCTTATTGCATGCAACAGAGGATATTGACCATGTGTTAGCCCATAGGGCTTGTGGGAACATTAAAAGGGCCAATGTGTAAAGTACTGATCATAGTATCTGTTACTTCCAACTTAAACACTGCTAACTTCATTATGATTACAATTTTATATGAATAGCAAAATTTCCCTGTCCTTTTCCATCCAATTGTTTGACTTAAAAATGAAACAAGTGGCCGGGCATGGTGGAGCCCACCTTAATTCTAGCACCCAGGAGGCAGAGGTAGGCAGATATCTGAGTTCAAGGCTAGTCTGGTCTACAGAGTGAGTTTTAGGACAATCAGGTTTACACAGAGAAACTCTGTCTCAAAAAGAAAGAGGAGGAGGAAGAGGGAGAAGAGAAAGAAGTGAAGAAAAAGAAAGAAGAAGGAGGAGGAGGAGGGAAGGAAGGAAGGAAAAAAGAAAGAGAGAGAGAGAGAGAGAGAGAGAGAGAGAGAGAGAGAGAGAGAACTGAACCCAGCATGGTGGCACAAGCCTTTAATCCCAGCAGAGGGAGACAAATCTGGTTTGAGGCCAGTCTGGTCTACATACTGAATTCCACACCAGGCCCTGCATCAAACACAGACATAAAATAACTGGATTGGAGAGAGGGCTCGGTGGGAAAAGTGCCTCCTATGCAAACCCAAGGACCTGAGTTCAGATCCCATATAAATGCTGAACATGGTGGTGAGTGCCTAAAACCTCAACATGGAGAAGATGGTTGGAGATCCCAGGGGCTCGATAGTCAGTCAGTGCAACCACTGATTCAGTGAGACATTCTGTCTCACAAGATGAGATGAAATTGAGAACATGCTCAGTGACGGAGTGCTTGCCTTGCATGTATTAAGCCTTAAATTCAATTCCAGAGGGGTGGGGGGGGGCAAGTGAAATGGTTGATATCGAAGGGACTAGCCCACTCTAGCATGTGGTTTTGGCAGGCCTTTCTCTCCTCCCCAGTTCCCTCTGTGTTGCTAAAAACCAATAGATTACATTCCTAGAGCTAGCTACCAAGGTAGCTATGTGGGGCCTGAGAAGGAACCCCTGCTATGCGGGGGGGGGGGGTCTCCTTCAGATATGCTGATGCATGCCTCATGTTCTTTTAAAGATCTGATGTGATTTAAATGTCTAAAAATGTACCCATAGTCCAAGACTCTCCAAAGCCATGCCATCCTCCTCATAGATAGGAGTAGCTGGTATTGAGGCTCATAGCATTCACAGAATTATCAGCAAAGGGGTCTCACCTTTTGATCATATTCTTGGTGTACCAAATGCAAGGGAAAGAATCCTTAAGAACGGTTTTATAATGTCTGTTCAAGTCTCTTCCAGCCAGTGAACACCGGTAATTCCCCACGATCACTCCATCTGGATTTAGCATGGGAATCACCTTGAAGACAAAGGTATCCCTGAGGAGCTGGGCATCTGGGGAGTTGCCAAGGATGAAGTCCAAAAATCCTCTCATGATCCAGGAGCCATTACTTTCTCCAGGGTGGACTCTGGCACTCAACACCACAGCTTTCTTTGTAGCTGCCTCCTGAGGGGTCCTGGATGGACTGGTGATGGTGAGCAAGTAGACCGTGTTCCCAGCTAGGCTCCTGCATAGAGCTCGGAGCTTGCAGAACTGAGACTGGATGGGGTTGTTTGCGATCGACAAGAGATAGCATTGCAAGTCAGTGTAAGTATACGGGTAAAAGTGTGCAAAGAAGCAAGTGTCCTGGTCATGCGGAAACTGAAGGGTCCAGGTGAGACAGTAGAAGGGCTGCTGCCCATCATCCGTGTTGTTCTTGTAGTACTTGATTTCCTGTCCTTCTCTCCTCCAGCCAACATTGTAGGTGGCAGCATCCAGCTGAGAGTACATAAGAGGTTTCATTCCCACCGCATACAGGCTCTTGGGCTTCAGCAAGTTCACAATGGTGAAGCGGTAGGTGACGTCTTTTCTGGTATTCTGAACTCTAAAGTAAAACCACTGGGTGTGTTTGTCTGTGTAGAGGTCAGTTCGCAAGGTGAGTTCGTACTCATAGACGCCTCTGCAACGAAAAGAAAAAAATGTTCTACACCCCATCACCTTCCCCTCAAAGCAAACCCAGGTCAATATTGTTTTCTCCTTGTGAAGACGGACTGACTGCAGCTGCCTCCACAGCAATTGTGTCCTTTCTGGTTTACCCACTCCTCCGAGTCACATAAGAAACTGGTGAAACTTGCCAAAGGAAACTTTGTGTGGGATTGAGGAGAAAGTCTCCAGTCTCGCTGTGAGCTGTACATACTTACAATCCAGACACTTGGGAGGCTGAGGTAGGAGGATCATAATTTGCAAGCCATCCTGGGCTATACAGAGATTTGAGGCTAGCCTGGGTTATCTAGGCTTTTTAAAGTTAGGGAAATCTTGTTTGAGCAAAGGGGTCAAGACCATGCTGGTGATACCCACAGAAACTACTGAGAGCTCACTGACTCTGGACTGACAGTGGGAGAACCTGCATAGGAGCAAACTAGGCCAACTGAATGTGGGGGGCAGTTGTGAGGCTTGAGCAGGCTGTGGGGCCACTGGCAGTGGGACCAGGATTCATCCCTAGTGCTTGAACTGGCATCTAGGAGCACATTCTCTTTGGAGGGACACCTTGCTCAGCCTGGATATAAGGAGGAGGGCCTTGGTCTTTCCTGGAAGTGAAGTGTCAGTCTTTGTTGACTCCCCAGGGGAAGTCTTACCCTTTTTGAGGAGTGGATGGGGAGATGGGGTGGAGGGAAGGTGGAGGAAGCGGGAGGAGGGGAAGGAGTGGGAACAGGGATAGTCATGTAAAATGAGAAAAGATTGTATTTAAGAATTCTTAATATAGCCGGGCGGTGGTGGCTCACGCCTTTAATCCCAGCACTCAGGAGGCAGAGGCAGGCGGAACTCTGTGAGTTCGAGACCAGCCTGGTCTACAAGAGCTAGTTCCAGGACAGGCTCCAAAACCACAGAGAAACCCTGTCTTGAAAAACAAACAAACAAAAAAAAAACAAAACAAAAGAATTCTTATATATAAAAGAAAAAATAAATTATTCTTCCAATTTTTTTTAAAAGCCAAACAGACAGGTTTACTGCTGCATCGGATGTTTGGAGATTCTGCTAACTTCTTGACATTTTTCCTAACATCGACTAGCAAGCTGCCCTCTGACACACGCTTGTGCAGCATGTCCTCTTCTTCAAAAGAGAATTTTTTTGTTTGTCTTTTGGGGACAGGGTTTCTCTGTGTAGCTTTGGAGTCTGCCCTGAAACTGCTCTGTAGATCAGGCTGCCCTCGAACTCACAGAGATCCGCCTGCCTTGGCCTCCTGAGTGCTGGGATTAAAGGCCTGTGCGCCACCACTGCTCAGCTGAGAAATGTTTTTATTAAAGGACTAGGCATAGTCATGCACACATAGAATCCTAGCATTTGGAGCCTGAAGCAGGAGGATTGTAAGTTAAGGCCAGTCTCAGAGCTATAGCAAATCCTGTCCCAAATATCAAAGAAATAAAGATGGAAAATGAAATCACAAAAGGAAATGTACAAGGCAAGGAAAAAAGATCCACCACACCAATAATTAAGAAAATGCATAGTGAAATAAGAAGTCAGCCTGGTCTACAGAGTAAGTTTCAGGACAGCAAGGGATGCACAAAGAAACACTGTCTTGGGGGAAAAAGAAAGAAAGAAAAAAAGGAGGGAAGGAAGGAAGGAAGGAAGGAAGGAAGGAAGGAAGGGTCAGGAATATAGCTTAGTGGTAGGATATATGCTTCATATATGTTAGGCACTGGATTTAATTTAAATTTTTCTTTGGATTTATTTATATGTATGAATGTTATGCCTGGATGTTTGTACATACACCATGTGTGTACCTGGTGGCTGTGAAGATCAGAAAAGGGGGGGGGTCAGATGCCCTGGAAATGAAGCTACCGATGTTTGTGAGCCACCATTCGGGTGCTGGGAACTGAACCCTGGCTTTCTACAAGAGTAACAAGTGCTCCTAACTGCTGAGCCGTTGTTCCAGCCCCTGGGTTCAACTGTTTTTGTTTGCTTTGGGCAAGGTCTCTCCACATAGCCCTGAAACTCACTAGGTAAATCAGGCCAACCTCGAACACACAGATAACCAACTGAACTTCTAGGCTTCAGCAAACTTTCTCCTTCCACAGCCTGAGTAGGCGGAACTACAGAGAAGCACATGCCACTGAGCCCAACTTTCGCAAACAAGAGGAGGCACATGTTTAACTTGTACATGTAATATGTGTTATTACACATACGCATTTGGACACATACCAAACAGTCCTTATATACAGGACTTTTTATGTCGAATATTATTTTTACTAGTAAAAATGTTAGAATTTTATATATCATTACTATTGTGTGTACAAGCAAGTATGTGCCATGGCAACTCTATGAAGGCCACAGGCCGACTTTGTGGAACTGGTTCTCTCCTTCCGCCTTTACATGGGATCCAGGGATTGAGTTCAGGTTGTCAAGCATGAGGTGCACATGACTTTGCCCTGCGTCCTCTTGCAGGTCCGTTTATAGAACTTTTACGTAAGCTCTTCCTTCTTCTGTGAGCAGAAGAAATAACCTAGTGTTTCATTCTGGGGAAATTAGTCATAATTATTCCATTCTTCTTGGTCCCCTTAGTAAGTCTTCTACCGCTCTTTCTCAAACAGTCTGCATTCCTGAGAGCCCCATAGCGCCCTCGCAGCCGCTGCAGCCGCTGCAGCCGCACCTTCCAGACTCCGTCACTTACACTCTGACGGCTTTCTGCAGATTCCCGCTCTCAAACCTTGATTCGAACAACAGGGTATTATCTTCTGGCCCTTGCAACGTAACAGCAAGTTCCTTGATAATCCCTCGTTTGCCTCCTATTCTGGAACTGGTGAAGTAGGCACCGTCTGTGGGTACTGCCAATGAGAAAGACACCATTAGGCAGCGTTCACTCAGAATTCATTCATTCAGCAAGTCTTCACTGAGCCCTCCCAACCCCCTAAATGGTCAATGGGAAGATGGCTCAGTGGCTAAGAGCACAGGCTGCTCCTTCAGAGGAGCCGGACTCCATTTCCAGCACCCACATGGCAGCTCAGATTACGTCTGACTCCAGTTCAGGGTGTTCATGCAGGAAAAAGCCATACACATAAAGTAACACTTAAAAGTAATTAAAAATAAGCTATTGGTATTGACTGGGTGGTTTAACTCCAGCACTCAGGGAGCTGGGTAGAATCAGAGGCAGATGGATCTCTGTGAGTTCGAGGCCAACCTGGTGTACAGAGATAGTTCCAGGACAGGCTTCAAAGCCACAGAGAAACTCTGCCTGGAAAAACAAATTAACAAATAGATGATAGATAGATAGATAGATAGATAGATAGATAGATAGATAGATAGATAGATGGATGAATAAATAAATAGACTACTGAAAATGTCCAGGTGATCAGTCATGACTATCAAGGTCTCCACACAGGCAAAGATAGATTATTTATCATTCAGGTGTCAATTCTTGGAATCACCATTAGGGTCAGTGAGATGGTTCAAAAGCAAAGGAACTTGCCATCAAGCCTGACGACCTGAGCTCAGACCCTGGCTTCCACAAGGTAGAAGGACAGAGGTGACTTTCAGAATTTGTCCTCTGACCTCTATCTGTATGTGCTGTGTTGTGCCTCTTTCCATAAATAAACCCTCCCTTATTCATAAAAAATGATTGCTATAAAAAAAGGACATAAGATCATCTTTAGGACTGGCAAGATGGCTCAGTGTGTAGAGGAGCTTAGCCTGATGACTCCAGTTTTCTCCTTGGGACCCACATAAAGGTGCAGGAGACTGACTTAAGCTGTCCTCAGACTCCAAACGTGCATCACGGCACACGTGCCCATAAACACACAGACACAGAAATACATTTTTAAAAATTAAAACCACTTCTCTGTGCACACTAAGCTTGCTGTAATTTTATCCTAGTCAATCACCCATTGTGACTGACAGTACCTGAATCTAACTGGTAGACAACTGTGCCTTGCTCTTCTCCCACAACCTCGGGCATCTTCTCGTCTCCTGTAGGTTGATAGAAGTATTCTGGCTGAGGTGGAACCCACTCTGAAAGATATTTACAAAAGTACAGAATAAGGAATGATATACAGGGCACAATCAAAATTAAGATAAAATTATAATTACTTTGTTGCAGCCCGTGAGTCCAGCTCCCAGAACTGCACCCAGCATAGTGAAAAGAATGCCTTCTCAGAGCAGCAGGGTCTTAGGAGAATTCTTCTCTATCGAGGGCAATAAAGAAATGCATGTGTTCTGACCTTAAGCAGAAAGGAACAAGCACACACTTTCCTGATGGCAACCTTCTTTTTTACTTCATCTTAAATAAGCTCTTTCTTGACAGTCTCTCTACACAGTTACATCTCTTTACATACGGCTACATACCACTTCTCTCTCCATCTCTCATACTTCTCCCTCTGTACATTAAGGTCCGCCTCCTTTTCAACGCTCTCTCTCTCACACACACACACACAGACCACACACACATTCACACACGCGCACACAGAGCATACACATACACTCTCACACACACGCTCACACACACATGCATGCACGCACACACGCATGCATGCATACGCACACACAGAGACAATACACACATTCTCATACACATTCACATACATGCACGCACACACACACACTCTCTCACACATCACACACTCACACAGAGACCACACATACACACTCTCTCATGCACACACACACTCTCTCAAACCACACCCTCACACATACACACAGACCACACACACACTCTCTCACACCACACACACACACACACACACACACACACAGACCACACACACACTCTCACACACACTCACATACGCATGCACACACACTCTCTCACACCACACACACGGACACAAACGCGCGCACACACACATGCACACGCACGTCTCTCCTACTTCTCCTTTTTACAGTAAAGCCTCTGGACAGATATGAATCACATTTTCAGTGCCACGCAGCACTTCCTAAGTAAACAATAAGAATCAGAGCCAAGGGGCTGGAGAGGTGGCTCAGTGGTTAAGAGCATTGCCTGCTCTTCCAAAGGTCCTGAGTTCAGTTCCCGGCATCCACATGGTGGCTCACAACCATCTGTAATGGAGTCTGGTGCCCTCTTCTGGTCTGCAGGCATACACACAGACAGAATATTGTATACATAATAAATAAATAAATATTAAAAAAAAAAGAATCAGAGCCAAACCGATCCCACAGTTTCTCTCAGGCAAGGGAGGTTGCGCTGACCAGCCAGTGAAAGCCACTTGGTCATGCACGTAGCTCTAAGTGGTCCGGGTTCCCAGGCAGAAAGTGACACTGACATTCAGGACTTACATAATAAACACTTGGCTGAACTTGGAGGTTGGGAGTACGTGCAGAAAGTCCATTGATGAGAAAAAATGTCTCCTGATGTGGCGTCAAGCCTGACCTTGATTCAGCAGTAAACACCTGGGAAACTGACCTTGTGTATTCGTCTCCAGGGGCAACCAGATTGCTTTGACTTTGTTTTGAAGTCTAGAATTAACTGTCTCTGTGACTGAGAATGCTATTGCTTTCCTATGTCAGACTGAGTAATGAAAATCTCCTAGTATTATTACTATTCATCAGAATTATTCAAATAAGCAGAAAGCATCTTCCTGACCATCCACAGCTGTGTGTGCCCAGTAGATGGAATGAGATAAACACACAGCAGGGGAGAAATACTCAAAACTGTTATTTTTAGGGAGAACTCATGATAGCACATGACAGAATTACAGGTAGAGACAGACAGTTATCTATAGCCACAGCCATCTCCAACTGGGGCTCCCCATCAGAGTTATTTGTCTGGTGGGTCCATCTGTTGAGCACTAGTTGTCACCTGCTGTATACTCTTTGGGTTTTTTTTGTTTTTGGTTTTTTGTTTTTCGAGACAGGGTTTCTCTGTGGTTTTGGAGCCTGTCCTGGAACTAGCTCTTGTAGACCAGGCTGGCCTCCAGTAAAATCATTTAAAGTGTGTGTGCGTGTGTTTGTGTGTTTGTGTGTATTTGTGTGTGTCGTGTGTTTGTGTATGTGTGTGTGCGTGTGTTTGTGTGTGTCGTGTGTTTGTGTATGTGTGTGTGCGTGTGTTTGTGTGTGTCGTGTGTTTGTGTGGGTGTGGGTGTCTTTGTGTGTGCGTGTGTTTGTGTGTGTCGTGTGTTTGTGTGTGTGCATGTGTGTTTGTGTGTGCGCGTGTGTGTTTGTGTGTGTGCGCGTGTGTGTGTTTGTGTGTGTGCGCGTGTGTTTGTGTGTGTGCGCGTGTGTGTTTGTGTGTGTGCGCGTGTGTGTGTGCGTGTGTGTGTTTGTGTGTGTGCGCGTGTGTTTGTGTGTGTGCGTGTGTGTTTTTGTGTGTGCGTGTGTGTGTGTGTGCATGTGTTTGTGTGTGCGCGTGTGTTTGTGTGTGCGCGTGTGTGTTTGTGTGTGTGCGCGTGTGTTTGTGTGTGTGTGTGTGTGTGTGATTACAGGAGCTCTGAGAACAGCTTTCAGGAGTTTGTTCTCGTCTCCTGCATGTTTAAGATGGTGTCCCTGGCTTCTCCTCTTTAACTGTGTATTCAAGGCTAGACCTCAAGCTTTCAAACAGCTCTGTCTCTGTCTCCTGGGAGTGCTGGGATTACAGATGTCTGCCACCATAACGAACTTTTTACAAGATGCTGGGGTTCAAACTCAGCTTATTGGGAATATTTGGTTAGCCATCTCCCTTTTCCCCAATCATAAATTTTAAAAATAAAACTTAAAATATGACAGAAAGATCAATATAAATGCTGCAATGTGACCCTGTGTTTCTTGGAAGAAAGGGAACTGTGTTCAGATGTGTGTGTGCCAAGTATGCGGGTACCTATGGAGGGCAGAGGACCCCTTGGAATCAGGAGTTCCAAGTAGCTGTGAGCCATCTGACCTGAACTTGGATCCTCTGGAAGAGAATCAGGAGCTCTATGCTGGATAGTTTTATGTCAGCTTGACACAAACTAAAGTCATCTGGGAAGAGAGAACCTCCGTTGAGAAAACGCCTCCATAACATCTGTCTGTAGGCAAGCCTATTGCGGGCAACCCATTAGTGATGGTGGGGGAGGGCCCAGCCTCACTGAGCTGCTGGTCCTGAGGTGTAAGAAAGCAGGCTGAGCAAGTCATAAGGAGCAAGCTGGTGAGCAGCTCCCCTCCATGGCCTCTGCATCCGCTTCTGCCTCCAGCCTCCTGTCCTGACTTCTTTGATGATGAAAATTGATGTAGAAGTGTAAGCTGACTGAGCTCTTTCCTCCCCAACTTGCTTTTAGTCATGACTAAAACAAGCCCTTAACCACTGACCCATCTTTCCAGTATCAGAAACACAGTTTCTACTACTAAACATACTAAAAAAATAAAATTCTATCATAAATAAAATTCTATCATAAAACAAGCATCCTTTGTTTCAGAGAAAATAAAGTTTTGTCAGCAATAAATTTAAGTGTTGGCCGTTTTGTCCTTTTGTATGGTTTGTTTTGTTTTGTTTTTGAGAAAGAATCTCTCTACATTGTCCTTAATGTCCTGGAACACAGTCTGTAGTCCATGCTGGCCTTGTACACACAGAGTTCTGCCAGCCTCTGCTGAAATTGAAATGAAAGACTTAGGCTGGGCAGTGGTGGTGCTCGCCTTTAATCCCAGCACTCAGGAGGCAGAGACAGGAGGATACCTTTGAGTTCAAGGCCAGCATGGTCTACAAGAGCTAGTTCCAGGACAGGCTTCGAAGCTACAGAGAAACCCTGTCTCGACCAAAAAGAGAGAGAGAGAGAGAGAGAGAGAGAGAGAGAGAGAGAGAGAAAGAAACTGTGATTTTTGGGGGGAGGGTTGAGTGGGGAGGGAGCAGAGAAAAATGTAAAGTTCAATAAAAATCAATTAAAAAAAAGAAACAAAAGGCTTGTACCACCACTCCCAGCATTAAAATGTCATTTTAATAGTAGTCACTGATAAAAGCCATGGACATAATGGACATAGAAGGAAAGAACTTGGTAAAAGACAACGTCAGTTTCATCTCTTCAAGGTGGTAAGAAGTGATAAGGTTTTTGTAATTCAGTTTTCAATTAATTTTTATTTTATGTGTATTTTTACTGCATATCTTTATGCCTGTGTGCCACATGCATGCTTGGTGCCCTAGGAGGGCAGAAGATGGTGTCAGACCTCCTGGTACTGAAATTACAATTGGTTGTGAACTATGGCATGAGTGCTGGGCTGGGACAAGCAGCCAGTTGCTGGGCCAGGTCTGTTCCCCAGGTTGCTGTGAGCTGTGTAAGCTCCTGGGTTTGACTGCATTTTACCGTCTTGATATAAGTGATAAAGTCCATCCACAGTTCCAGAATATAGTTTTTACTATTAACTTTATTTTGAGTCCACTACAACTTTTTATGAGGATGGCAGAGTTGGGCTTTATGGTTGTTTATTTCTTTTGTTTTGTTTTCCTGGTGCTGTAGATGGAACTCAGGCCTTTGTTCACTAGACAGAGCTACATAGTGAGACCCTGTCTTGGAAAAAATATGCAAAAGACTGCATACCAAGAGCTCACAGATAGGACCACTTACATCACAGAGTCCACAGGCCAAGAGTGGAGCTCAGTGACAGAATACTACTGACAAAGGCCTAAAAAACAGACATAAGAATTGATAAATTTGGCCTATGCCCAAATTCCCAATTATTGTTTATAAATGTTTGTTTACATTTAAAGGGGGATATGCTGTAGAGATGAATACTTTTCATTGGTATGGATCTTGGCTTATTGATACAAATTTAAGGCTGATTTTGTTATATGTATATTTCTGCTCTTGATTAAGGTATTGTGTTTGTGCAGCTCATTTAAAATGTAATGTATAATTAAGACATACAGGTTAATAGATAATCATCTATAACAGTCAAGCTTGTAGTCAGTTAGGTTTTCTAGATATGTTTCAGATAGACAGTTATTCTTCAAACCTTTCAAAGATTAATAGAATATGGCATTTAAAATGTTTAAAAACGTAGGACTTTTCATGACACGAGACACATCTGTTCCTGTCAGTTTCAATCTACTCCAAGAGGAAGATGGGCATTGAAGAGGCTCCTTATGGTGCTGGTTAGCCATCTGGGCAAGAAACTGCTCTTGGCTGGACTGCTTGATAGTATGCTGTGAAAACTGGACATGCAGGACCCACAGAAAAATGACTGCTAAGGTTGCCTAAAAGAGGCACGACAGTCTTCCAGGGTTCCTGCTTTATGAGAGAACTGCCAGACCTTCTCAGGACACAGAAGAAAGCAACTGATAAACTGCCAGTGCAAGGCATAAGAGATTGTCAAATTTCCTGCTTCATGGAAAAGTCTGCCAGATACTCTGGGCCTGTGGGCTGAAGGTGGATGTTGCAATGATACAGAAGAACTGTGGGTGACTGTCCAGGCAGCAGGATGTCTCTGTCAATTCTAGAGTTTTGGAAGTTGCTTACAATACACTTCCTGTTTACTTAGGTAATATTACATCCTTCTGGAGTCTTTGATGGAGTTGAAATAAGATAGTTATAATTATAAAAGATAAATTAGATATAAAACTTTAGACTCACAAAGATAGTATTGATGATAGAATATTTTCCTTGATTTGTCAAATGTAAATGGACTAAATATTGTAACTATAATTCTTGTTGATACATGTTTTGTTAAATGTAATTTTACTATGTTAAAGTTAAAATTTTTCTTTTCATCCAGACAGAAAAGGGGAGGTGATGTGGGGGATTCCCCTCTGTATACCATTGGTTAATGAAGAAGCTGCTTTGGGCCTATGGCAGGGCATGATATAGCCAGGCAGGAAATGTGATCTATGTAGAGAGTAGGCAGAGTCAGAGAGAAGTCACGTAGCTGCCGAAGGAGACAGATGCCTGGGAACCTTACTGGCAAACCACAAGCCTTGTGGTAAAATACAAAATAATAGGAATGGGTTAACTTAAGATATAAAAGCTAGCTAAAAATACAGCTAAACTATTGGTATTCTGTGTGATTATTTCGGGTCTGGGTGGCCAGGATATTAACAAATGGATCTCTGCCTACAGGCCTCTAAGAAGCTGTCTTCTGACTCCTGAAAACAGAAGCATTCCAGTTTATGCTCTAGTGAGTGCGTTTACAGAGGGAGACTCTGCTTTGCCTTCCGTGTCAGCCTGAAAGACTCAATTTTAAGGGCTAGAGAGCCGTCTCTACCGGTGAAGCATGAGGACCTGGGCTTGATCCCCTCACACAACACTGAGAAGCTGGAAGGGAAGCCCTAACACACAGTGCTGCCAAGGCTGAGATGGGCGGTGGGTTTGGGGAACTATCTGGCTGTCAGACCCACGTGAGAGCCATCGAGGGAGATGACTCCTGAGGAATAAGGCTCATCTCGGGCTTCCACACACATAAAACATGTCCTCGTGCATTTATGTACACATGTGACTTTACATTCGATAGTAATAAAGTAAGATAAAGAACCAGGGACACACACACAAGTTGTATTACCAATATGATGAATGTTTTCCTTGATGACCTCACACTCTATCGGCCACCTTGGAGCCTGCAGTGGCCCTCGGCTAGAGAAAAATGAGAAGAGCTCTCGGGGTTCTCGAAAACGCGGGTTCACTTCATCCAGTTCATCACAAAGAAGCTGCCTGCTCCTAAGAAGTGGTGAACTCAGCATAAGTGAATCTGCCAAAAGGAAGAAGAAATAAATGAACAACTTTCTCTTCACCTCAAGAGCTTTACTGCTCTTTTTTAAAAAATATTTATTTATTTATTTATTTATTTATTTATTTATTTATTATGTATACAATATTCTGTCTGTGTGTATGCCTGTAGGCTAGAAGAGGGCACCAGACCTCATTACAGATGGTTGTGAGCCACCATGTGGTTGCTGGGAATTGAACTCAGGACCTTTGGAAGAGCAGGCAATGCTCTTAACCGCTGAGCCATTTCTCCAGCCCCCTTTACTGCTCTTCTACAGCAATCAGATAATGTTAAACTGTGTATGAAGACATTAGCAATCTGGGTGTGGTAGTGCACATCTTTATCCCAGTTCTGTGAGTTCAAGGACAGCCTGGTCTACACAGAGAGTTCCAGGTTAGCCGGGACTACATAGTAAGATACTGTTGTACCACCACCCCTACCAACAAAAAGGTTAAAAAAAAAAGACTATGATGACAGATAAAATTATAAACTATTAAGTTAAAATTCTGCATAATCGAGATTTTTAAAAATCAAGTTAATGGGTCTCAACAGTGGGCTACATAATACTTAACATGCCTTATTATTTTGTATTCATTCAGGTGATGAAAGAGGACTTTAATTCTCCTATCGGCATTATGGGGAAAAGCACAAAAAACTTAATTACCTAGAGAAAGAAGCACAGACCTAAATGCAATCTCCAGAACACAGGCAAGACTGTGGAGCATGGTGACCGACGTTTGTGGACGGCACCCAGCATTGTCCTCTAGCCCCTCCCACTTTAACTGGGGATTACCAATTACACTGCTCGCTATGCAAGGATGAGAGTGTGAATTCAGATGTTCAGAACCCACGTAAGAAACAGGCATGGAGATGCACATCTGTAATCCCAGTTTAGGTACATCAGAGGGATGTAGGTCACCAAAGCTCACCGACCAGACAGTGCAGCCAATCAGTGAGTTTCCGGTTCAGCAAAAATAAGGTTGAGAGGGACTGGAGAGATGGCTCAGAGGTTAAGAGCACCGACTGCTCTTCCAGAGGTCCTGAGTTCAGTTCTCAGTCAGCACCCATATGGTGGCTCACAACCATCTGTAGTGAGATCTGGTGCCCTCTTCTGTCATGCTGGTAAATGTGCAGACAGAACACTACACATAATAAATAAATAAATCTTGAAAACAAAACAAAAAACTTTTAGTAGCCAGGCAGAGGCGGCCACACCTTTAATCCCAGCACTCGGGAGGCAGAAGCAGGCAGATCTCTGTGAGTTTGAGGCCAGCCTGGTCTACAGAGTGAGTTTCAGGACAGCTTCTCTGTGCCAAGGATGCACAAGAAAGAAAGAAAGAAAGAAAGAAAGAAAGAAAGAAAGAAAGAAAGGGAAAGAAAAAAAAAGAAAACCATAGTTAAGCAACCGACAAACTGGATTTCAGGTCCATGCCGTACTCATCTGAAGTTCGATACCTCTGCTCACAGCGCCTATCTGCGTGTGCCCCGCTGAAGACAAACAGGTAGGCCCTGGAAAGAAGGAGGCACCATGTGTTTATTTTGTGCCCACTGTCTCCCATCTCCTTTCACTTTTCATCTCCCCACGGGGCCCCTGAATCTCTGTATAAACCTTTACCCAATAATTAATAAATGATATAATAAACATTTGAAAAGATGGCAACATGAAAATAAAAGAAAGCCAGAGGGTGGAGGGCTGACTGGGGGTAAGAAAGCCAGAGGGTGGAGGGCTGACTGGGGGTAAGAAAGCCAGAGGGTGGAGGGCTGACTGGGGGTAAGAAAGCCAGAGGGTGGAGGGCTGACTGGGGGTAAGAAAGCCAGAGGGTGGAGGGCTGACTGGGGGTAAGAAAGCCAGAGGGTGGAGGGCTGACTGGGGGTAAGAAAGCCAGAGGGTGGAGGGCTGACTGGGGGTATGAAAGCCTGCTGCTCTTGTATGGACTGGGGTTCAGCCGAGTTTTCAGTAACTCCAACGCTGGTATCAAGGGCTCACATGTGCACATACACACAACATACACATATACATAACTTAAAAATAACAAAAATAAAACCTTTTGTTTGTCTTTTAAGACAGGGTTTCTCTGTGTAGCTCTGCTGTCCTAGAACTTGTTCTGTAGAACCAGGATGAACATTGTAACTCACAGAGATCCTCTGCCTCCCGAGTGCTGGGATTAAAGGCATGTGCCACAACTGCCTGACAAAATTAAAATCTTTTTAAAAGATTTATGTTGGGTGTAGTGGGGAATGCCTTAAGTTCCAGCATTTGGGATGCAGAGGAAGGCAATTTTCTGTGAGTTTAAGGCCAGAGATACATAGTGAGACATTATCTTAAAAGATATATGTGTATCTTTTAATCCTATAATGTACCCAGGGGATAGAAGTAGGAAGATCAGGGAATCCTAAACCAGCCAAGGCTACATAGCAGGACCCTGTCTCAAAAAGTCAAAAGCTGGAGATATAGCAGTTGCTTGCCATGCAGAAGACCCTGAGTTTGATCCCTAACATGTGTGTATGTGCATGTTTATATGGAATATATATATATATATGATCATTACATCATTGTGTTCAAATCATGGGAAAGGCAAAAGTTACCAAGGCAATCATCAAAAAGGAAGGTAAAATAACTATGGCACATTAATGAGAAATAATACTAACAGTATCTTTAAAAAGAGTGACATAGCTGGTTGTGGTGGCACACACTGGTAGGATTTGCTGAAGGAGGCAGAGGCAGGAGGATCATGAGTTCGAGGCCAGCCTGGGCTTTAAGAAAAAAAAAGAGTGAAGTAGAAGTGGGGACTCAAACTCACAGACTTGCCTTCTCTGCCTCCCAAATGCTGGGACTTAAGGAATTCCCCACTACACGCAACATAAATCTTTTAAAAAAGATTTTATTTTTGCCAGGCGGTGGTGGTGCACACCTTTAATCCTCGCACTTGGGAGGCAGAGACAGGCAGATCTCTGTGAGTTCCAGAGGTATGCACCTGTGATTCTAGAAATAAATTTAAACTTTTGTTCTAAAAATGTTTAGCATTATATTCTATGCATTTGAATTTGTTTTGATTAAAATTTTTAAATAAAAAGAGAGATATATTTGTATGTTAAAAAAGGACATTGCTATGCTCAAAATAGATTTGGAGAAGGTAATTGGAACAAGAGAAGAAATTGGGAGGTCAATGAGAAAGCCAATGATGGTGGTTTGAACTGGGTGTGGTTTCTTAATGTGTGGGGTATTGAGAAGGTAATTACTTTGTTCTTGCATCTTGGTAAAGAGGCCTTTTGCCTTCCCCCTCCTTTCTAGATTGAGGTATATAAAGGCTATGAGAAATAAATATGAGGCGAATCTCAGTATTTCCTGGATGCCCTCACGACTGTTGTCTATCTCTTTCTTAATCTTCAGCCTTCCCTCCAAGCATGGATGAGTAGGCCGTATGGGACCTGGTAGTCATCACCAAGACGCGGATACAACAAAATATAAAATACATGAAACAATACCCCTTTCAAAAACAAAACAAAACGAAACAAATAAACCAAAAATCTAAAGTCTGCTTGCTTGACTTCTCCTACATTTGTTATTTTAGGTTCCTAGAGTTTCAAGGCAGTAAGGTTTCTGGGTGGGGGTAGGTAGGGTGCAAGGGTTACTCACATAGAAATGTCTCTTTTTCCAAGGTGTCCGAGATCAAATTGTCTCTTTCTCCAAAAGAGCCATTCAACATGTACCGAGGACTAGTCTTCCAAACACGCTGATGAGCAGCAGAATTTGGTAGATTGCCTTTCTGGGCTAAGAGTAAGTGGTTTAGTTCAAGTTGTTTGTAGAATGGTTCAGTATCTCTAGGGATGGGATCACTATAGCAACCCAACCACTCAAACCATGACTTTTATCATCACTGTTCAGCACCGGCTTTTATAATAATATCCCATTCTTAAAAGATCTCTCACATTGAAATTTATGCAAAGTGAGAATAATGATTCCCATTTGGCAAGAGAGGAAAGAGAGTAGAGATGAACACCATGGTATAGTGTTGGTTTTAGAATAATGTTCAGAAGGCAGAAAAACTCAGTGGTTCTAAGAAATGCTAAGAGAGCCAAAGCCAAGTGAAAGCGGGTACTGGAGTGGGAGCAAAGTATTGTACTGAGGGCAGAAGTTTCTGTCCCACCAGCAGCTCCCAAATAAACACACTGGGGCTTATATTAATTATAAATGCTTAGCCAATAGCTCAGGCTTACTACTAACCAACTTTTAACATTTCCTATCTATGTTTTGTCATGTGACTTGGTACATTTTCATCTTGCTTCTCTCTATTTCTACTGGTGACTCCAGTCTCTGCCCTTCTTCCCCCCAGCATTCTCAGTTTGGCTCTCCTGCCTAATCTTAACCTGTTTAGCTATTGGCCAGCCAGCTTCTTTATTAAACCAATCACAGAGACATATATTCACACAGTATAAATATTTGTAAATATTCCACATTGTACCAAAAGCCTTTTTTAAAAAAAATATAGGTCTTATTATAAAGCCCTGGCTGTCCTGGGACTCACTATGTAGACCAGGCTGACCTCAAACTCATAGAGATCCTCTTGCCTCTGCCTCCCAAATGCCAAGATTCAGGCATTCACCGGCACATTCAGCTTCAAAGCCTTTCTGTGCTAAGGACACTTAATGAATCTGACAAACTGGAAGTTCTCTTTTCAACAAATTAGTCCTAAAGTAAAAATTGTTAATAATAATGTTGAACAAGGTTATCAGAATTACAATCAATATTAAGCTGGCCATAGTGGATAGACAAAGATTAAGTAGGATTGTAAGTTCAAAGTCAACTAGACTACATGGCAAGACTTTGTCTCAAAACATCTAGAGTTGTAGGTCTAGTTCAGTAGTAGAACACCTTCCTAATAAGTGCAAGGCAACCATCTGGAGTTGTAGGTCTAGTTCAGTAGTAGAACACCTTCCTAATAAGTGCAAGGCAACCATCTGGAGTTGTAGGTCTAGTTCAGTAGTAGAACACCTTCCTAATAAGTGCAAGGCCCCAGGCTTGCACTCTAGAACTGCAAAAATAAACAAGAAAATAAAGCTATATATTGAGGTGGAGACCAGCCTGGGTTACAAGTGACCCTGTTCCAAAAGACCAAAAAATAAATAAACAAAAATGAAAACTCACGGGACATGGTGGGACATGCCTTTAGCTCCAGCATTTAGGAGGCAGCAATTGGATCTGTGAGTTCAAGGCTGTTCTGGTCTACAAAGTGAGTTCCAGGACAGCCAGTGCACAGAGAAACCCCATCTCAAAAGACCAAAACCAAAACAAAATGTCACACTAGAAAATTAATTTCTGGGCTGGGCGGTGGTGACACACACCTTTAATCCCAGCACTCAGGAGGCAGAGGCAGACAGATCTCTGTGAGTTTGAGGCCAGCCTGGTCTACAAGATCTAGTTCCAGAACAGGCTCCAAAGCTACAAAGAAACCCTCTCTCAAAAAACAACAACAACAACAACAAAAAAAAAAGAAAATTAATTTCTGGCTGGCAAGATGAAAATGGCTCAGGGAGGAAAGGTCCTGGCTGCAAGGCCTGAGAACCTGAGTTGAATCACTGGGGGTGATATTGGAAGGAGAGAACCAACTCCTGAAAATTGCTCTCTGACCTCCACGTGGGAACAATGGTATGTGTGAACACACATTCACAAACACAAAAGATATGTAATAATAGTGAAATTCCTTGTCTTTTTGTAGCTGAGGATGATCTAAATTTCTAACCCTTACTGCTCTTTCAGAGGACCCACAGGCGCTTTGCAACCATTTGTTACTCAAATTCTGGCCTCTAAAGGCACCAGACATGGACAGAGTAAGCATACATACATGCAGGGAAACACATTGTGCTGGATAGTTTTATGTCAACTTGATAGAAAGGAGGGAACCTCAATGAAGAAAATACCCCTATATAATCAGGCTGCAGGTAAGTCTGTAGGGCATTTTCTCAATTAATGATTGATGACAGAGGGCCCAGCCCACTGTGGATGGTCTCCTTACTGGGCTGGTGTTCTAGGTGCTTTTTTGGAATTTACTCTGTAGATCAGGCTGGCCTTGAACTCAGGCTGGCCTGCCTTGGCCTCATAAGTCCTATGATTAAAGGTGTGTATTACTAGACTCAACTGGTCTTGGGTTCTGTAAGAAAACAGGCTGAGCAAGCCATAGGGAACAAGTCAATAGGCAGCTTCCCTCCATGGCCTCTGCATCAGTTCCTGCTTCCAGGTTCCTGTCCTGGCAAGATGAGTTCCTGTTCTGACTTCCTTCAATGATGGACTGCAGTGCAGAAGTGTAAGCCAAATAAATCCTCTCCTCTCTAACTTGTTCTTTGGTCTGTGTTTCACTGCAGCAATAGAAACCCTAAGACATGCGCACACAAATAAAAACAAATCTTTTTAAGAGGCATTTAACTTGTATGATGGTTTGAATGAGGATAGCTTCCAAAGGTTCATGTGTTTGAATACTTCATGGAACTGCTTGGGAAGGATTAGGAGGTATGGCCTTGTTGGAAGAGATGTGTCACTGGGGATAAGAGTAAGGTTTAAAAAGACACATGCCATTCCCAGTGTATTTTTTTCTCCATAAAATATGAGTTCTCAGCTCTGGAACCATAAGCCTGATTAAATGATTTCTTTTATAAGTTGCGTTGTTCATAGTGTTTTAATCACAGCTATAGAAAAGTACCTAATACGATTTAGGGGGCAAAGGTAGGAAGACTGCATGTTTGCAGCTGGCCCAGATGAACCATGCAGTTCTAGGATGTAACCCTGTCTTAAAAAAAGAGACATTTGCTCTCTGCACACTGACTTCCCAGGCCTGTGCACACCCCCCTCTAATAAATTCCTAAGCCAGTGGGGGGGGGAGAAACATTTATAGTAATACAAAAATGGAAATACTATACAAAATCTTTAAATACGCCCTGCACATGGTGGCACTCATTTGTAATCCCAGTGCTTTGGAGGTAGAGGCAAGAAGATTTCAGCTTTGTCTACCTAGGAAATTATAGGTCACCCAGGGTACACAGCAGGATTTTGTCTTAAAACAATAGCAAATGGGCTGAAGAGATGGCCCACTGTTTTAACAGTGCTTACTGATCTTTCAGAGAACCCAAGTTGGTTTCCATCACCTACACAGTAGTTCATGAGCATCTATAACTCTAGTTCCAGGGACCCCAACCTCCTCAGGTACACCCTACACACACACGGTGCACATACATACATGTAGGCAAAAAACACCCATATACCTCACAGTGCTGGTGCACAACTTTACTCCCAGCACTCAGGAGGCAGAGGCAGATGGATCTCTGAGTTCAAGGACAGCCTGGTCTGCAGAGTGAGTTCCAGGACAGCCATGGCTACACAGAGAAACCCTGTTTGAAACAAAACAAAACAAAACAAAAACCTCACCGCCACCAACAAAAACAAACAAACCATTTTCCTAATAAATTCCAACTCTGATTTATAAACAAAAAGATCAGTATGGGGAACTGAGTAATCTGGTATATACAGACTGTCTCAAAAAAATCAACAAGCGAATAAATACATACATAAATAGAAGGTTTCAAGGTACTGGGAATTGAATGTAGCCCCTGGATAATGTTAGACAAATGTTTTACCATTGTACACCTCACTTCCCGTTCCAAATGATTTCTTTTTAATATCACAAACTAATTTTAACATTTACATCCAGAAGACTGAGATGTGGCTCAGCAGGGTGCTTGCATAGCACACTATAGTGAACAAAAGTCCAATCTCTAAAACCAAAAGACAAAAAGAAGAGAGGAAAGCAAAGACTCAAGAAAAGGCTAGATGCTTTTGAAGAACAAGGTGAAAGGAAATGACTCTCCAGATAGCAAGACTATAAACAAACTGGGCATAGTGGTGTAAGAGGCCTGTACTACACAGGGAGACTCACCTATATAAGAACTATTTGAATGTCATACGACAATTCAGAGATGGTAGTTATTAGTGCACCAGTAGAAAACAGGCCAACAAATTGAAAAGACTAGAGGAAACATTTGTACTTTTATATATAGCGAGGCTGTCCCTAGACAGAGGGACACGGCAGTTCAATAGGGGTAGCAGGTGCTTTTCAACTAATCAACTAGAAAAAGGACTCCAGTCTTAACCAAACACAGTTCTTTCAGTTAATGCCACAGGTCAGCTTGGTGATGCCGGGAAAGAACCAAGTGTTATTACCTTTAAAGTATCCATAATACTGGAGGTGATGGTGCATAAAATCCTCGTAGGGATCAGGAAGAGTCTGAAAGAAAGGGTATTCTCAAGCAGAACATGTCATTCAGATGACACTGAATTCTTAGCAACAAGTGTCAAACATGTTTCACAGGATACGGTAACAAAACAATCCATGCAAATATCGAGTTATGCTGTCTCTAACAGGTCTGGGGTACTAGCGGGTGTAGAGCACACTAGGAATTACAGCGCCAGGGAAACAGAGGTAGGAGGAGCAAGTTCAAGGCCAGGCTGGGCAACAGAGTGAGTTCCATGCCAACCTGCGCTACACAGCAAGGTCACGTTACCTACCTGCCTCCCCAAAAGCCAAACACAAAACAATCCTCCAGTTGGACCAGCAGGCCACCACAATGAACCTTTTGGTCTAGGATTAAGTTTCTGTGAAGTTTTGGAAAGGGGAGTGTACCGACCTCCTGCTTCAACTCTGTTTCCAGCGCTGGGAACATGTTACTGCCACATAGAAAAATGTAGGCGAATCAGTAGCACCGCTGCCAGCTGCAACCTCTGCCTAATTTCCAAAAGGGGAGCTGATTACACCAAAGTCTCATATCGCAGCAGGAAGGTGGAAAGAAACCAATCCAAACACACAGCACCACCAAAGAACACCAAATCTGACTGCCATGCCCCTTCACGCTCACAGCCTTTCGACTTCAGGGCAATCCTGCACGCACCTGTGCAGTCAGGGCGCAATGCGAGTCCCCGTGCTTCGTCCTCTAGACTTACCGGGACCCTCGCTGGCCCCATGCTGTGCTTACACCGAGAAGAGACGCTCGGACACCCGGAATCCTCCCGGTTGGAGGCACGAGCAGTTGAAAAGGAAAGGTCAGGAAGTCGAAAGCAACCGGTCCTGGAAACGTTCGTTCAGTTGTGAGCGTCCCACCCCAGAGATGTTCCCCACAGTGATGCAGAAATTCCCACCAGAGCTGGCAGGCGACCCGCGCGCCCAGCTCCCATACCCGGCCACTGCCACTCCGGCCTCAGGTGCCTGGAGAGGGCTGGCCCAACGCTCCTCAGTACCCTGCCCTCCTCATCCCAGGCCCGCCGTCCCCACCCTCTACTTCCTTTATCCCCTACCCTGCTCAACTCCTGCCCTCCTCACCCCCTACTCTTCACCCTCCCCCGCCCTTCTCACCCCCTTCCCGCCTGAGATACACTAACTGGCTCCTTCGCAGGCCCAGCCCATCTGTTCACCTGCGGAGCTTTCCGCGCGGACCCTGGCAGCCTAGCAACCCGGAGCCTGAAGCGGAAGGAGGGCAGAACCCCGCCCTCATCCTGCGATGTCAGGCAATTTGTTTCACACATCAACGGCCTAGGCTAGGAACAGTGCCAGGAGAGTTCACCCTATTTTCTAACTTCTGTAGTTTTAGTAATTTCCTGTTTAAGGGGGAGCTGTAGCAACCAAACAAGCTTTATTTAAACAGGGAAAGCAGATCAGTCCTAGGAATCAGGCTCATTCTAATTTACATCATTCCTTCTCCCTTTGACAAACTTAAAACAGCTTCCTTTCCACTTTTTCTTTTTTTTCTTTTTAAAGATTTATTTATTATGTATACAGTGTTCTGTCTGTATGTATGCTTGCTGGCCAGAAGAGGGCACCAGATCTCACTACAGATGGCTGAGAGCCACCATGTGGTTGCTGGGAATTGAACTCAGGACCTCTGGAAGAGCAGTCAGTGCTCTTAACCTCTGAGCCATCTCTCCAGCCCTCCACTTTTTCTTGATTTGATTTAAAATACAAGTTACTCATTAAAAACTATTTCTCTCTCCCTGTTTGCATGCAGATGCTCGTAGAGGCTAGAAGATTTCGGTCCCCAGGGAAGTGTCCTGCCCTTGTGAGCTGTCTTAAGTAAGAATTGGATGCTGGGAACGAGACTGTGAGCTCTAAGACATCTCTCCAGCTGCCTCCCATCCATTTTTCATAGAATTATGTTTCCGTGCGGAGTTCTTCATTTCCACCTTTGTATGGGTTCCAGGGACTAGCAGGTGTCAGCCAGTCAAACCCAAACCTTTTAGGCTATCCAATCAGCCCTTATTCTTTAAAAAATATAATTTTCAAAAAAAGATTTTCATGTTGTGTACGTGCACGTGACTGCAGGAACGTACTGCCAGAGATCTCCCTAGAGCTTAAGTTACAGTTTGGATGTGTGTGCTGGACTGCTCTTACGTGCTGAGCCACCTCTCCTGCCCCACTGTTACTTTTTGAGGCTTGTTCAAGGATTTGTGTTAAAGATGTCCTATTTTAAGTTTGAACCTTCTCTTGGCTGGAGGGCACAGCACTGGTTTCTCTTATAAGTTCAGTCTTCAGCACTCACATCGGTGGCTCACAACCATCTTTAGCTGTACCCCTATAGGATCCATGCCCTCTTCTGGTGTGCAGATATGCACGCAGACAAAACATCCATATACATAAGTAGACCTTTAACAACAGCAACAAAAAGTGAACGGCCTCATAAAAGCTGAGGTCAGAATCTTGGATAAGCTATTCAGACAGGCCAGACTTGCATGCTAGAATGTCATCTCAACTAGTGATGATACGGGCTAGCTACTGAACACTTTTACTCTTTGTTCTCTACCTTCTAACCTTCTAGCTAGAATGAAAAAAAAATCCTCTAAAACAAACAAACAAAAAAAAAACAAAAACAAAAAACTAACAAACTAGTTAGAAACTAAGGGGGCAAAACCAAGCCCTGGGCCATCCATCAGGTTCCTTATGTGCTCAACAGCAGGGTGGTAAGGAGGCCTCTCCAGCAACAATTACACACCTGGAAAACTGTCAATTAGTTAAGACAAGAACTTTAACAGCTAGTTGATAACCTTTATTTATAGAAATTTAACTATGCAAATTACAAAACAATTTTAGGTACAAAATGGGCATCTCAGCATTAGCACATGATAAATAAAATCTAGTACACTATAATACAAAGTAAAAAATTTTAACTGGATAGGAATACTAGAATAAAATCCAAACTATTGTCTTTGGTTAACTATTGATTATAATCTTAAGTATCTATTATTTTCCATAATCAGCTTTTTATTACCTATAAAAAAAAAGCTAGAAAGCACCTTTCTCCCGTATCACATTGTTCCCAGGACTCGGACAGGACAAATATTAGTAAGAATGGAATGTAAGCATAGTCACACAAGGCTCCACCTTGTTTAAAATCTGTCCCCGTATATCTCCAAGATGCTATTTTTTCCTGATGTTCAAATGTCAGTGCATGCTCTGTACCATGTTTGGTCACAACAACTAAGAATGGAATACACTAAGTCCTGGTATTATAACTGCAGGGTAACATGCTTAGAAGAGCAAAAGGATAACCAATCACAAGTATAAAAAGAGCTTTATTAGTGCATATATACAAATTTACAGTGTCAGAAACTGGAGAAATACAAACAGCTTTAAGACACAATTTGCTTTTTCTTCAGTTAAAGTGACCTTTCTTGATTGTGATACAGGAGAAAGCACACAACAGTGGACTGCTTCTTAAACACTGGAATCTCACGGAGAGGGGAATTTCTGAAGCAGGTAAAACAATGCCGACAGTACACAAAGTGGCCTATTTTACTGACTACCACACACTTAGGGGAATTTCTCACAATCAAGGATCTGAACACCTGCAGCTGCTACTCTGCGTGCCTGTCAATATGCCACCTGGTATGAAATGAGTGCCACAGGGTTTCTGAGAAAATGTGGCCATCAGCACAATCTCAATACTTCAGGGGCAGCAGACTCGAGGAAGAGGTCAAAGATTCTGATGTTCAAGCAAGATAGGATACAGAGCTGCCTTCTTAATTGCACTTGTTCTGGAGTAGAAGGTAAGGAGAGTATTACACTAGGAACTGAACAAGCCTCTAGTGGGCATTTCCTTTTGCCAGTGAGTCCTATACTGAGGTTTCATGCCCATGACTCCCATGTTCCTCAAGACTGACTCATATCTAACATGCTAAGCTTGCCAGTGTGAAAAGAGACAGTCAGGGCAAAGCAATTCCAAACACCCCTCCTTCAGCAAACAGAAAACTACATCTCCTAAACAGACAACTTAATATGCATGGGTTTTGTCCAGGATGTTCTTCCTCATAACATTTACAGTTCATCTGACAACAGCTTAGAACTGGTTAAGACTTTAAACATAAAACAAAAAAAAAAAATTTTTAAAAATTAAAACTATGTGTTGGGGGCCATTTTCCTTCTCTTCAGTCTTGCTCGCCAATCCTCAGGAAGGGCTTCAAAATTTGCATTTCTTTCTGCCATGCCACTGTGAAAACAATATGCAAGTTACTACTTCACTGGAAAGAGAAGAGAATCTTTTTCATTTTTATTTTATTTTATTTTTAGAAATAAATACTGAAACTGAAAATTGGATCTCATGTCCACTCAGGAAAATGTTTTAAGTTTCTCAGCAAAGGAGCAGTGTATTCTTCATGAAAGACTGTGATGTTAAGAATACGACTACCCTAAGATTAGCACAAACCCTTCCCATCAGGAACTGCACTCCATTTACCTGACCAGCTGCTGCTGTTTCCACTCCTCGATTCGCTTCTGTGCAGTGGATTCCCGGTCCTCTTCACTGGAACTCGAATTATCTTCCTCATCTAACTCCCGCTGGATACTCTGCCATTTCTTTACCAAAGATGGCATTTTGGTTTTACTTTTCTTTGCCTAAAACAAAGTTACAGATCAGAAGATGCACACAGACAGGAAACAGGTCCTTTATACTGACAATCAAGATCTCTCCCTGGAACCGAGGGATAAATGTGACACTGGATGCGACCAGAACCCCAGGCTTACAAGTATGAAGGTGGTGTGTGCAGATAATGTTGGAACACTAACTTCTGGCATGGCATAGATGCTCTTTTGAACTCAAAGCCGCTGGATTGTCTATACAAGATTAGGCCTATTAACAAGAGCTTGTCATGAAGAGAGCAAGGGCTTACAGGGCCCCACCCTTCTCCGAGGATTTATACACACAGTTAACGGTTGATAGAGGAAGGAGAGTCTTTTTGGTGGTGAAGGAACCGGTAAAGTGCTCAAGCCCCTATAAGCTATAAAATTCACTGGGTCATTATAAAAATAAGCCAGGTATGGTGGCAAAAGCCTTTAACCCCAGCATTCAAGAGGTAGAAGTAGGTGGATCTCTGATTTTGAGGCTAATCTAGTTGGGATAAGTGAGATTCAGTAAATCCAGGGCAACTCAGAGAAACCCTGTCTTAGAAACAAAAGATATGCAAGTAAAACATAGACGCGGGATAAACAAACAAAAGATGTGGACAAGTTGGGAGGAGGAGGTGAGCCAGTGGGAAAAGGAATACAAAAAAATGGTAATGGGGATGTGTGAATATGTTCAAAACATCATGCATTAATACACGTGTAAAATTTCTTAAGAGATGGCTCAGTAGTTAAGAACATTTGTTGTTCTTTGGAGAACTGGATTCGGTTCCTACCACT